TAATGTGAACAAACTGGAGACTACCTCCTCCAACTCCTAATTCTCAATGGGAGCGGTCACATGAGTAAGGACAGCTTGTTACCATGCAATTGTATAACAAGGTTACAATATCATAGCATATTAGCTAGATTCGGATCCAATGATATCCCAAAATTCAAATCTGGCTGATCGGTTCTGGATTTAATCCAACACCACTCTATTATCATTAAAATAAGGAAAAAATTAAAAATAATTACTTTTAAATTTTTATAAAAGAAAAAACCAATGATGCCAAAAATACATGATATAGGAAGAACTTTACCAATCAAAATCCTCCCTTCAATTTTGATAAATACCACCTAATTGATTAACATTAATTTTTAAGATATTAGTTGATTGGTTATAAGTCTTTCATGTCCTCTCCCTGCTCCATCACCCCCACCTTGCATTCTCCTTGACTCTCTCTCCTCTCCCTTTCCTACCACACCCATTAAGCCATGTCACCATAACCCAACTACCTAAAAATATTCCGACAATCTCTCTCCTAAGATATTTCCTCTAAGACATTAGGAATGTATCATGTTACTCCACTTCCCAATCCATTCCTAAAATCCCCCAAATCTATATCCACTCTCTCTCATTTAAAATAGTCATATTAAATAGTGTTATTACCAAAAGTTAATAAGTACGGTTAGTAAATTACCAAAAATTAATAAATATTGTTATTAATTTACTCATCATGACCTTTTAAAGTATTTTGGGTAAGCATTTTTATATTCATGTCAATTAACAACATTTTAAAGAAATTGAAAACTCTTTAAATAATTTCTATAAAATTGAGAATTATATTTATCAATTATCAAAAAGTATAAAAGTTTAGTTATTGCTATTATTATAGTTAATAACCAAATGCGGATGGGGAAATAAAATATTATAATGTTGGAAAATGAAATTATTAACTAATTTATATTGGAAATAAAAGATAAATTAGTTTAATTTTTCATTAACTAACTAAATAAAATAAATATTTAATAACAATTTAATAATTTTCAATAAATCTCCATAAATAATGAATTTTTCAAAAATTTTCATAAAACTACATTTTCATAAAATAACATTTTGTAAATTAAAAGATATAAAATTTTTGAAACTTTATTTAAAATGTATTAAATAATTATTGAAAATTATTGGAATATTTTGGAAATTTTATTACATTTCATATATTTTGGAAAACCATTGAAAAATTATGTAATTTTCATTATAAATTATTGAAAATTATTAAAGATAAATGAGTATTGAAAAGGGAAAACTATAATTAGAACCAATAATTACAAAAATTATTAAGATAAATTATTATAATATTGGGAAAAGGAAATTATTGATTAGTTTATATTAGAAAATATAAGATAAATTAGTGTAATTATATAAGTAAACCATTTAAAAATAAAATAAATTATTTTATAACAATTAAAAATAAAATTTGAATAATTTTCAAAATTACACAAATATAATATTTTTTTCAAATTTTTTGTAAAATTATATTTTTGAAAATTAAAGATAACTTAGTGTACTTTTAGAAATTTACCATGTGGTTGATACTCAATGTATCCTTTTGATCATTTTTTGTCATCAAATTGAATATTGGGTTGACGGGGAGTGGGTGCCTTGCCTTGAACCCACCCAACACTAGGGATGGGATAGGAGAAATTCAAGAGTTCTCCATCCTTGACGAAGAGTGGTGTCTTGCCCTGAACTCGCCCAACATTAAGGAAGAGGGAAGGAAATTCGATGATTCCCCGTCCCTAACAAGGAGTGGGTGTCTTGACCTAAACCTGCCTGACACTAGAAGCGAGGTGGGGATGGGGTAGATTGTATTGACTTTG